GCAGAAAATTAGTGATTGGCACCATTCTCCCAGCAACACATTTTCCCTTCTTTGTCAACACAAAAGAGATCGTATAGTGCATAGTAGTAGCAAGAGGAATTCAGGAGTGTACACAGAGTGGTCTAAGTGCATCCCAGGAGGTACACAGTTTATTTTTCTTGGGTGGGGACAGGGACAAAATTTTTTAACTATTTTATTTATTTATTTATGCAGGATTTTTAAAGTTCATTTATTTTTGAGAGAAAGAAAAAGGGGGGAGAGAGAGAGAGAGCATGCACGTGAATGGGGAAGGGGCAGAAAGAGAGGGGAGAGAAAGAGAATCCTAAGCAGGCTCCACACCACCAGTGTGAGCCTGATATGGGCCTTGAACTCACAAACTGCAGGATCATGTCCTTGAGCCAAAACCAAGAGTTGGTAGCTTAACTGACTGAGCCACTCAGGTGCCCCATTAACTCTTTACTTTTAGTAAAATATAATTTTGAAAAATTTAACTTGTATTACTAGAATGTCAGCTACTTGGAGTCAGGGATCCAGATCGGTGAACATGACAGAGAGGGGCTAGTGTTTTCCCAATCAAAACTGCCCAGCACTAGGACCAGAATGCCTTTTCTGAATCTGATATGTGGCCTTCTAAATGCCTGGGTCCTTGCCCAGAATGTGATCGGTGATGGAGGACCTGCACACCTACTGCTTCTTTCTCAGGAATTTTATCACAGGCCTGGTACGTTTGATGTCTGGCCATTTGACATTGTTCACTCAACAGTTGGCACAAAAAAATAGGGCATTTGGGCCGGTGTACTAAGTTCTGCAGATCAAACACCTACTCTAGAAGTGGGAAAAGCCCAAATTGAGCAGTATGACTGGCTTCAAGGATTGGGAAGGATAATTACTAACATTACAAGAACTAGTCCTTTGAAGTCTCAAGTTTCTTAAATAATAAATTTGCTGAGAATGCCAAGAGTTGGGGAGATAGATTGGCAATATCCCGTGGCTGTTATTAAGGGCTTTGAGGGAGTTGCATAAGATGTGACCCAGAAGGAGAAGGGTGACCTGGAGCTGCAGGTGAAACTACTAATTGAATATTCTGGTGGGTGGAATGTGCAACAAATTTTAGATAAATTGAGACCAAATAAATGGGCCATTTCTCTAATCCACTTTCTATAAGTAGAGCAGTAAAGGTTGCCATGTAACCAGGGTGACACTATGTCAACACTATGTAATACGAGACAGAGAATGTTTTAGGGCACTATGTACAGCAAGAAGAGGGAAAAGTTTAAAGTGTGTGGCCCTTATTATCATCCCCTCTGCTTCCTACTTCCATGAAAGTGATAACCTTTCATCAGACCAAGTGAACTAACAGAATCGCTGGGTGGGCCTCCACAATGACCCACGGAAGGCTATGTGGTTATGGCATCTAGATAAAGAGGCCAAATGGTAGCTGCTAACCAACCTCACCCTACCATGATCCCAGACTTGTCTGATGACTCATGTATTAAAGCTGTGCAATTGCAGATGTTCACAGACACAGTTAAAGCATTGAGAGTATGATACTGTTTGCTTTGGGGCTATCCAGAGACCCTCCAATCAGACATGGATTATGCTTTACAGACCAGAAAATAATAAGTTAGACATAGCCATAGACATAGCATAGGATCCTATGGCTATATGGCTACTCCATGCCCATATCACCTGCAGAGTGTGTGGCAATAAAGTGCTGGAACAGGTACCTGAAAAAGACAAATTTCAATAGTCTGTTGCTTACCATGCCACTGGCAGACTGGTTGGACCTCCTGCCTAATGTATCTGCCCGTGGTACATCTACCCAAAGGTTTATCCATTCTTAGCCATATTCTAGCAATCCAAAAACTTTGGGACATAGAAGTATCTGGAGTGGAACAAATACAGTGCAGGACCTCAGCCTGCATACAACTTCCCACACTCCTTTTTTTTCCTACCCTGACTTGATCAATTAGTTAAGAAGCCCAGACTGCATCTTATGTGAGTGGGTGGTTGGACACCAATCTAGATACACTATTGTGGTCACTCTTTCTACCTTGTCCCATGTTACATTGCACCTCTAGATGCAGACATTGCACTTCCACACTTAAGCAGACATTCTATTGTGTGGTCACTGCACTTATCATTCTTATGATACATGCACTCATTCTTAGCTCCATAAAAGGTGGGAGAGTGCTGTGGCAACAGGGAAAGTCATGGATCCCAGATAAATTGATTTATGGTTTGGTGGGTGAGATAACAACTTTTGATTCTTATTGAATTGCATAATCAATATGACAGTAGCCCACTGTCAGGCACTCACTATCCTCCAGGATCTAGTAGAAAGTTGAGGACTACTTTCATGTTGATAATTGTTATGAAAGGATACCATTGCCACATAATAAAACTCTAAAGGCCTAGGCTGTGATCCTCCTAGTGGGGCATATCAGAAGCACCTTATAGTATTTCAGTCTGCCAAAGGCATTTTCAGTATCATTAGACCTATTGCTAATAAGGTTCAGGAGAAAGGACCATTTGCATCACAGTTTAGATCTACTTATTTCAGACTCTTTCTTAATTCAGATCCATTGAAAACTGACCAGTCTCATGAATTACTTGGCAAATGAGTTGAAGTAAAACAGCTATATACTGTAAATACTGCCTCCAAAGTTTGAGAAGCTACCAAATGTTGAACTTCTTCCTCCCTGATAGATGCAGCAACTCATACCATTATGCCATTTATACTACTTATACCATTATAACTTATATCAACTTATACCATTATACCACTTTAAAAGAGAGATCCAGAGCACCTGGGTGGCTCAGTCAGCTAAGCTTCCAACTGTTGGTTCCAGCTCAGGTCACGGTCTCGTGATTCGTAGGTTCAAGCACCACATGGATCTCCACGCTGACAGTGCGGAGCCTGCTTCGGATTCTCTCTCTCTCTCTCTCTCTCTCTCTCCCTCTTCCCCTCATGCTCTCTTTTCCTCTCTCTCTCAAAATAAAGAAATAAACTTAAAAAAAGATATATTCCATCATGACCTGAACCACTGGACCTCTAGAAACCTTACCAATATGGCAGGGTCCTGAAGTTTACCTCCAATTCTCTGGTATATGTATGTGCTTGTTACATTCTGCTTATCTGTTCCAAATCAATATAGTGGATCCATATGATGGTCTTGAGGATATTAGAATGATTAAAATCTCTCCAAACCATATTATGACAGTAAGAGATTTGACATAGTCCTGAAATAAGGTAATAGAGACGTGCTGTTGGTGGTGCTAGGTATGCAAATTGCTTCTGTTTTCTCTTCTATAACTAAAAAGCCAAGCACTTAACAGGTTACAAATTAACAGGTTAATTACTAACTGCATACCAGGTGCCAAAGACTGTGCTAGATTTTTTTCAGCTAGGAAAATATATTTGAAAATGTAACTTTCTTTAGCATTACCATTTTATTCTCCAAGAGCCAATGACTTTTGCCCTAGCAAAAATGCCAAGTTAAATGAGAATATGTTAGGAATCACCAGTTTTGCATGTCTCAGGCTTTCAATGGTGGTACTAATGTCTGGAATTCATCCTGAGGTGTAATTTTCCTTTTAGTTTACTTTCTTTGTGTCTGTGTCATATAGGTTCAGATGCTACGATTTGGCCCTTTCTAGCATAAAAGCCCTATTTGTCCTCAAGGAACCAATACTGGGTTTCTCCAGTTACTAAGCATATCTATTTATACTATACAAGCTAGGACAGGAGAAATACCCATAGGATAGGCCCACCTCTTCTTGGACCTACTATTAGATTCAGGCTAAACTCTATGAGCCCTATTCTGCTTAGCAGATTATGGTGGCATTTTGGGTTTATAGGCATCAAACTCAAACAGCAAAAACTTAGAATTACTGTCTAAATATTGCCAGAAGGTCTGGTTGTTGTTTTCCTCTCCCAAGGGCAGTGTAAATCTGGACAAGGGCACTGGTCCCCCTGGGGCAGGCTACAGGGGAAAATTAATAGTATCTTTCTGTTCTCATGTTGCCAGACTCTCTCACTTGAAGTCTGGGAGTTGGTTTGGTCTGGGAGCTAAGTAAGAGTCTGTGATTCTCCACTATGGTAATTTACTTTTCTGCCCAGAATATCTAGACATTTTCCTCCTATATATGTTAAATGGTACCTTAATAGCTGCTTATCATTTACGTTTCTTGGGACCCTGTAGTCAATGAGCCATTACTACGATCACTGCAGTTCAAAACACTGTTTTTTCACTCCATGTCTGTAATAATTGTACCCTTCTACCCCTGCTAGTTTAACCCTATCACCTGACCTTAATTTTAGGAAGTTATTGTTCTCAATGAGATCAGCAACTCATTTCTATTGCAATGTTCTCCACCACCATTTCTGGCCGATGGAGAAGAGCCAACACAGAGCTCTTTAAGGATGTTATTGCCTTTCTCCCAAATCACTTTGGTGAAGTCAATGTCCTTTTGTTCCACATGAAGGGATGGTTTGGCAGTGGCAGGGTAGACTGAACCTCATAGATCCATTTCAACTTATTCTTTTCCCTGAGCCTTTAGACTTCTTCCTTTATAGTATTCCAGGAAAGTTCTGACATTCTGACCTCATTAACCACAAGCCATCATTTAATCTAGGCTTCATTTGGCTAACCTAACACATTATTAACAGATGCTGAAGCCAAAATATTAGACATGATACCTTAAGTGAGTGCATTTATGTAGTGAATTTGGCCCTCTCGACCTCTTGATCTAAATAGAACTCATTTTTCTACATGCTTCCTGGGCTCTGGTCAGTATGAATCAGAACTTCGATTATTTTTAAAATTTTTACATTTTTCTATAAAATTTAAAAACAGGAATAGTTTTAATTTATAGAAAAAGTGCAAAGATAGTACACAGAGTTCCTGTATATTCTTCACCTAGTTTTCCCAAATATTTACACCTTACTTAATCATGGGACATTTGTGAAACTAATATTTTAACATTGGTACTATATCTTTAACTCTACTACAGACTTTATTGGGATTTTCAGTTTTACCACTAATAACTGGCAGTTCTTCTAACTCATTTTGTGTGCACACCATTTCTTGAGGAATCAGGTCTTGTGTTGCTCCATCTGGACTATGTTGGGCCTTGAATGAATAAGGCCTATAATGTTATGGGCCTAGAATGAATAAGAAGTGGTGGTGGTGAGTTCTGGGAGCATCATTATGAGGAACCCAAAACACCCACTATATAAGGGTAGAAAAATAAAAAGATAGCTTCAATAAAAATTCACATTTGAAAAAATGTACAATGGGAAACACATGCACACAAACATATATATCAAAATCCTGAGCACATATCATATCCTGTTAGATGTGAAAAGCAAAGCAGGAAAAATAAGTCTTACCATTATCCAATATGACAGCTCTCTGAGGTGATGTCGTTTTTACTTTATTTTCCCTGGTTTCTCTACTTTCTAAGAAATGCTGCTTTGCTATTGTCCTCTACAGCCACATCTGAGGGGCCACTGGGAAGGAAGCGTGAAGAGAATAAATTTGTTAAGGATAAAGAGAAAAAATAGAGAAGCAGAAAATAGCTAATCCAGATGTGGGATAACTATAAGCCAGGCCCTGTCACACAATAATCCAGTTAAGTCACAAAAATCCTCTGAGGTAGCTATTACTGTGCCAGTTTTACAGAAGGGAAAGTGAGGCACAGAGAAGTCACTAACTTGCTCAAAGTCAGATAGCTAGTGAGGACAGAACTGGAACTTGAACCTGGGTAGCCTGGTTCTAGGGTTTGCACTTTGGCGATGGGGTAATGTTGGCCTCTTAAAATGAGTTGGGAAGTGTATTCTTTTCCTTTACTTTTTGAGAAACATTGTTTTTATTTTTTCTTTATGTGACAGAAGTCACTGTATGTTCACCAGGACTTGGAGGTTTTTTTGAGAGAAAGGTTTTATATAATTTTTAAATTATGCATATATATTTCTTTATTAGATATAAGGATATCCAGATTTCCTATTTCTTCTTGAGTCAGTGCTGGTAATTTGTGTCTTTCAAGTGATATGTCCATGTCATCTAAGTTGCAGAATTTATTGATATAAAATTGTTCATATTATTCCCTTATTATCCTTTAGTGTCTGGAGAATATGTAATGATATTCCTGTTTTATTTCTGACATTGGTTAATTGTATCTTTTTTTCCTCTCATTTTTCTTGATCAAGCTATTGATCAATTTTTAAAAATATTTTGGAAGATTTTTAGTCTTTTGTATGATTTATTTTTATTTTTCAGTTTCTTATTTTATTGTTTTTTAATCTTTATTTTCTTCTTTCTGCTTATGTTGGGTTTAATTGATCTTTAAAATTTCGTCTCTTAAACTTAAGATGGAGGTCTAAATTATTAATCTGAGACATTTCTTTTTTTTTGAATAAACATTAAAAGCTAGAAGTTTCATTTTCTTTCAGCTTTGTGAGATATAATTGACAACATTGTAATATGTTTGTTGATATACATTATTAAAGGATTAGCACCTCTGAATTAATTAAAAAATTTTTAATGTTTATTTATTTTGAGAAAGAGATAGAGAGAGAGAGTGCATGGCAGGGGAGAGGAAGAGAGGAACAGAGACACAGAATCCAAAGCAGGCTCCAGGCTCTGAGCCATCAGCACAGAGCCCGATGTAGGGCTCGAACCCACGAACCATGAGATTATGACCTGAGCCGAAGTCAGACACTCAACTGACTGAACCATCCAGGTGCCCTTTTTTAAAAAGATTTTTTAATGTTTTTTTATTTTGAGAGTTTATGTTTATTTATTTTGAGAGACCACTGAATTAATTAACACATCTATCACCTAACATATTTACTTTTTTTGTGTGAGAATATATAGGTTCTATTCTTTTAGCAAATTTCAGTTATACAATGTAGTATTAGCAATTACAGTCACCATATTATACAACAGATTGTCACTTACTCATATTATAACTGAAAGGATATACCAGCCTCTCCCTATACTCCATTACCTGGTTCTGACAACTACCATTCTACTCTCTGTGTCTATGAATTCAACTTTTTAAAAAATTATTATTGTACATAGAGGTGATAAAATGCAGCATTTATTTTCCTGTGTCTGGCTAATTTCACTTAGCATAATGCTCTGTTCTCTAGGTTCATCTGTGTCATTGCGAATGGCAGAATATCCTTTTTGTAAAGTCTGAAAAATATTCCATTCTGTGTTTGTATGTCTGTTTGTGCAAGTGATATTTTGTTTATCCATTCATCCATTTACAGACTCAGGTTGTTTCCATACCTTGGTTATTGTAAATAATGTTGAAATGAACATGGGAGTATAACATTTGGAGAAAATTATTTCCTTTGTATATTAGTATATCCAGATGTGGGATCATATTAGTTCTATTTTAATTTTTTTGAGGAACCTCCATACCATTTTTCATAGTGGCTGTTCCAGTTTACATTCCTACCAAAAGGATTTCCTTCTCTCCACATCTTTGCCAACATTTGTTATTTCTTGTCTTTTTGATAATAGACATCCTAACAAGAGTGAGATGATAATCTCACATTGTGGTTTTGATTTACATTTCCCTCAGGATTAGTGATTTCATTTACCTTTTCATGTACCTGTTGGCCGTTTTTATGTCTTCTTTGGAAAAATGTCTACTTAGGTCTTTTGCCCATTTTATGAATCTGTTTCTAAAACTTTTTGTTTTTTTTTTTTAGAAAGAGAGAGAATGAGTGTGAGCAGAAGAGAAGGGCTGAGGGAAAGAGATAGAATCCCAAGCAGGCTCTGCACCATCAGCACAGAGCCTGAAGCGGGGCCTCGATCCCATGAACCGTGAGATCATGACCTGAGCTGAAATCAAGATCTGGGTGCTTAACCAACTGAGTCACCCAGGCACCTCTGCTCATTTTATAATTGCATTAGTATTATTATTTTTTAGCTAGTAAGTTATGAATCTTGTATGCTTTATATGTTAACCCCTTAACAGAGATGGGGTTTCCAAATTTTTCTCACTTTCAGTAGGCTGCCTTTTCATTTTGTTGATGGTTCCCTTTGCTGTGTGGAAGTTCTTAATTTGCTATAGTCCCAATTGTTTATTTTTGTTTTTGTGGCCTTCACTTTTAGGGTCAAATGCAAAAATTTTTCCAAGATTGATGTCAAGGAGCTTACCATCTATGTTTTCTTCTATGAGTCTTATGGTTTCAGGTCCTTATAAATTAAAGTCTAATCCATTTTGAGTTATTTTGGGCTATGGTGTATGATACTGGCCCAGTTTTATTCTTTTGCATGTCGCTGTCCAGTTTTCCCAATACCATTTATTGAAGAGACTGTCCTTTCCTCACTATATAGTCTTTGCTTCTTTGTCTTGAATTAATTGACCACACATGTGTGAATTTATTTCTGGGATCTCTATTCTGTTCCACTGAATAGGTGTCTGTTTTTATGCTAATACATTACCGTTTTCATTACCATAGCTTTGTAGAGTAGTTTGAAATCAGGAAGTGCAATGCATCCAACTTTGTTGTTCTTTCCCGATCTTACTTTGGTTATTTTGGATTATTTTTGTGGTTCCATACAAATTTTAGACTTTTTTTTTTCTATTTCTGTTAAAAATGCTAATGGGATTTTAATAGGAATTGCATTGAATCTATAGGTTGCTTTGGATAGTATGGATATTTTTTTAAAAGTTTTTAAAAAAATTTATTTATTTTTAGAGAGAGAGATAGAGAGAGAGCAAGTGAGCAGGAAAGGGGCAGAGAGACAGGGAGAGAGAGAATCCCAAGCAGGCTCTGTGCTGTTAGCATGGAGCCTGATGTGGGGATCAAACTCATGAACTGTGAGGTCATGACCTGAACTGAAATCAAGAGTCAGACGCTTAACTGACTGAGCCACTTAGGCACCCCTGGGTAGTATGGACATTTTAACAATATTAATTCTCCCAATTCATAAGCACAGCATATCTTTCCCTTTATCTGTGTCTTCAATTTCTTTTTTTTAATGTCTTATATTTTTCAGGATACAGATCTTTCACTTTGGTTAAATTTGTTCCTCAGTACTTTATTCTTTTTAATACAATTGTAAATGGGTTTTCTTAATTTCTCTTTCTGCTAGCTCATTGTTAGCATATAAAAATAAACTGATTTTTATGTCTTGACTTTATATTTTTCAAATTTACTGATTTCATATATTAGTTCTAATCTGTTCTGTTTTTTTGTTGGTGGAGTCTTTAGGGCTTCCTATATATAATATCATGTTATTTGCAAATAGAGACTTCTACCTACAGATTTTACTTTTATCTTTCAAATTTGGATGACTTTTATTTCTTTTTCTTGCACAATTGCTCAGGCTAGCACTTCTGGTAGTATGCCAAATAAAAGTGGTGAGATTAGCCAAACTTGTTTTGTTCCTGATTATCAGGGAAATGTTTTCAGCATTTCACTATTAAGTATGACAATAACTATTCGTATACGGCCTTTATTTTTGTTGTTGTATGTTCCTTCTATACTCAGTTTCTTGAGAGTTTTTACCATGCAAGAATGTAGAATTTTGCTAAATCCTTTTTTGGTATCTATTGAGGTGAGCATGTGATTCTTCTCTTTTGTTAATGTGGTGTATCAAATTTATTGATTTGCATATGTTGAACCATCTATGTACCCCAAGGAAAAATCTCACTTGATCATGGTGTATGATCCTTTTAACGTACCATTGAATTAGATTTGCTAATATTTTTTTTACAATTTTTACTTTTATGTTCATCAGGGATACTGGTCTGTGATTTTCTTTTCTTGTAGTGTCTTTATTTGGCTTTTATATGAGGTTAATAATGGCTTCATAAAGTGAATTTGGAAGTGCTCCCATCCATCACTTTAATTTTTTGGAAGAGTTTGTAAAAGATTATTAGTTCTTAGAATTTTTGGTAGATTCACCTGTGAAGCCATGTTGTCCTTGACCTTTTTTGTTGTTGTTGAGAAGTTTTTGAATACTGATACAATATTCTTACTAGTAATGGGTCTGATTAGATTTTCTATTTGTTCATGATTTTGTTTTGGTAGATAGTATGAGTCTATCCATTTCTTCTAGGTTATCTGATTTGTTGGCATATAATTTATTCATAGTAATTTCTTATGATCTTTGTATTTTTGTGTTATCTGTTGCAATGTCTCTTCTTTCACTTATAACTTATTTCGTTTAGAAAGAACTTATTATATATAATATAATATAACTTATTTCATTTATAATATAACTTATTATATTATTAACATAATATAACATTTATGACATAACTTATAAGGTTATTTTTCTTGGCAAGTCTAGCTAAAGGCTTATATATTTCTGTTATCTTTTCAAAAAGCCTACTTTTAGAGCCATTGATCTTTTCAGTCTCCCTTTCATTTATTTCTGCTCTGGTATTTGTTATTTTTTTCTCTTGACTAATCTTGGGCTTTTTTTTCTAGCTCCTTGAAGAAAGTTAGGTTAGGCTCTTTTGTTGTGTATGTAACA